AGCAGTCTCCCAAAGGGAGGTTTGGCCGTGGAGGTGGACTGGACAAGTGTGCACGGAAGGGCACGTGAGGGGACAGAGCCAGGCACCAAGGCTGCTGATTACTGGCTGTGATGGCCACACAGAGTGAAAGGAGGCCAGGTGGTGGGAGTTTAACTGAGGCACGATTCCCCACAGCCTGGAAATGAGGTCCCACTGCTGGTTCTGGAAGCCAGGCAGGGAAGGTGAGTCTGTGCACTTGGCCTTAAAAGATTTCATCTTTCTTAAACCTTAAACCAAAAAGTCTTCTCAAAACCAAACAGTAGTTTAGCGTCAATAGTAAAGAATGTCTGCCGTGAATAACACTGTGTTCTTCTAAAGAACCACCTACACGGGATCAAGGAGCTCTGATGGTTAAAGCATTCAGCTGCTAACCCCGAAGGTCGGCAGTTCGAACCCATCAGCTGCTCCACAGGAGAAAGATGAGGCAGTGGACTTCTGTAAAGGTTTACAGCCTTGGAAACCCTATGGGGCAGTTTTGCTCTGTCCTGTAGGGTTGCTATGAAATCTAGGCCAGGCCTTAAAAGCAGAGGTAGCAGGGCTCTGTGACTGGACAGTCACAGAATCGAAATAGACTTCATGGCAGTGGGATTTTGGTTTTAATGGGATCAAGCTGACAATAGCAATTCACAAGAGCACAGGCGTACCTTGTTTTACCGCGCTTTGCAGCTACTGCGTCTTTCACAGATGGAAGATCTGTGGCGATCCCGTGCCGACCGAGCCTACCAGCACCATTTTGCCAGCAGCACGTGGTCACTTCACGTCTCTGTGTCACATTTTGGTCATTCTCACAATATTTCAAATGTTTTCATAATGCTGTTGCATACAACAGAGTACAGTGTAGTATAAAGGTAACTTTTCCACATACTGGGAAACCAGAAAGTTCACATGACTCACTTTATTGCAGCGGTCTGGAACCAAACCGCCATCTCTCTGAGGTATGCCTGATCAGAAATTCAAGGAGCAGGGAGTTTATGTTAAAGAGGAAGACACGGTTCGAATGGCTGTACAACTTGAAGAACTGTACCGGTAGAAATCGTTGAATTGGTGTATATATTCTCAAAAAAATTATTAAAATGAATGAATTGAACCCCAAGTTGGTGGAAGAATACACAAAAAAGGATTTCATCTTTCATTCAGTTCAAGAACTTGGCCGAACTTCCAGCAAGCAAGCTGGCCTATGCGGGTTCCTTATCCACACTCTGCTGTTAATGACACCTTCAGGACTGCCTGACATTGAGCACAGAAATGCTAGAGAAATCTAAGACAGGCCTTAAAAGCAGAGGTAGCAGGACTCTGTGACTAGACAGCCAGGGCGCACCACCAAGTCCTCCTGACCCGCTAGGGCATCTGGCAGCACGTGGTGGCCCACCACTGGCTGAACGAACGACGTCTCCTGCTCCACCACCATCTGACTGTACAGAACCATGTGCATCTCTGACCTCAGCCTCCACATCTCAAGAACGGGGACAGACACCACCTACTTCACAAAGGCTGTTAGGATCCACCATCCACAAACGCTATAGCATGTGCTCTTCTGAGCTACCATGGACCGTGCCCACTGGCTATTCCAAGACGGTGGATCCAGAGAAGGCTTAGAACTTGGGTGCCATGAAGGATTCTGATTTGCAGGTGCTGGGTTCACTGTCATGTCAGGGAACAGGGGCCAAGCCCACCAGTCTGTTTACCAAAACAAGGCAGCACAGAACTTGTGGGGGGGCATTTACAAGTATTCCAAAGGCGGAGAGGCTGGGACACTGCCAGAAAGTCTACCGACAATGTTCCCTGAACGTATCGGAGTCTGCGGTTCAGTGGTAGGGTTCTCGCCTTCCATGCAGGAAACCAGGGTTCAATTCCCAGCCAATGCATCTCACGGGCGGCCACCACCTGGCTGTTAGTGGAGGCCTGTGTGTTGATCCTGAACAGGTTTCAGTGGAGCTTCCAGACACAGGGAGACTAGGAAGAAAGGTCTGGGGGTCCACGCCTGAAAATACGCCCAGGAAAATCATACAGAACACCAGGGTCAGACCCACAGCCCGTCACGAGGATGGTGCAGGACCAGGCAGCTTCATTCCACGCACACAGCACGGCCCTGAGTCAGGCACTGACGGTGGCCAATGACATGGAAAAACAAACCCCTAAAGCATGCCCCAAAACAAACAACAACAAAGACACTGCAGCTTCCAGAACTAAAACACACAGGGAAAGAGATCAGAATTTTAAAAAATGTTTTAATCTAAATTCCCCAGTTGTAGTCAAGATGCCAATTCCTCAATACGTTGAGGAGTGGTTTTGAGAACAGAGCCCAGCCCTCCTCTCCACAAGAGCAAATGCAGGAGGTTCTGGCTTTACCATGAAGACTGGGAGGCAACACTTCCTAGCTGAGCGGATGGAGGACTTCCTGCCCAGCCCTCCACCAGAATGGCTCGTTTAGGGGGGCTGAGGGTTCGCCTTCGTGTCAGCTGGGAACAAAGAAGAACTTTACCTGGTGGAAACCTCCACAGCCTGTTTAATCAGGAGACCAGTTCTGGTCCTGCAAGGTCCTATGGGATCCTAAGAGTGTGGCATGGTGAAATGAGGACAGGCGTGGCAGGAGGGAGGGCTAAGCACAGCTGAACAAATTCAGCCCATCTGCTCGGCTTTTCTTTCACTACTTCCTCCTGGCCAGGTACTGCTTCAAATGTTTCTAATCTAGGAGGCCCGCCTCCACCCCAGGCGAGGTGAGGCTGAGAAAGTACTCATCAGTGCCGTCCTGTCCGGACATTTCCGGGGTGCCTTTTATGAGCCAGGAACTGTGCTTCAAGGCTGGACAGATGAGTAAGGCCCAGTCGAGATCCGGCCCTGGGGCGGTTCAGAGCCTGGTCGGGGAGACAGACACAGAGAGAGAGAAAAATGCCAGATCTGGCTCCTGCCACTTGAGCATCCTGGGAGTTTCCTCTCCGCCTTGCCTCCCAGTCTCCAGGGAAGAAAATAACCCCTCTTCAGGGCCAGCTCATCTCAAGGCGCCTAAGAGGAGCTGTCATGCTGGTGGGAGGTGCCAATCAGAGTTGACAAAAGGTCAGCAGGCAGATGCTCTGTCATTGAGTCACTTTCGGGCCCAAACACATTTAGCAGCTCCCATGTCCTGCTCAGTCAGGTCCGAATCCCACTGTGGGTGTTCTGGGCTCTCCTTAGAATAGAGACCTGCCACCCACCTAGGACTCATGCTGGAGGTACTGTGTTAATCCTCTGAGGTCTGCCATGTTGTGTGAACCTCAGAACTGCCCTATAAAGGAGCAGTATTAGACATTTAGAGCCCTGGTGGTACAGTGGTTAGGGCACTCAGCTGCTAACCAAAAGGGCAGAGGTCTGAACCAACCAACTGCTCTACAGGAAAAAGATGAGGCAGTCTGCTTCCGTAAAGATTTATAGCCTTGGAAACCCTACAGGGAAGTTCTACTCTGTCATACAGATTTGCTATGAGTCAGAATCGACTCAATGGCAGTGGGACTGGTTTTTTTTTGTTTTTGTTTTTTGGTACTAGTAGTCAAAGGAGCCCTGGTGGCACTCTGGTTAAGCTCTCAGCTGCAAACCAAAAGGTCAGCAGTTAGAACTCACCAGCTGTCCCATAGGAGGAAGAGGTGGCAACCTCCTGTAAACATTTCAGCCTTGGAAACCCTATGAAGCTGTTCTATCCTGTCCTAGGGTCACTAGGAGCTGAGATTGACTCAGTGGCAATGGGGGAATTGGCAGTTTCATTTTACAGGTGAGGAGACAGAAGCTGTCCCTTTAGACAGCACATGCACCTGCTGTGTGCCCCAGGCCCCACACAACCAGGTCTCCGGTCCTAACTTTAAGGAGGAAGTGCAGCCAGAACGCTCCTCAGAAGCAAGGATGGCAAGAGTTCATCTCACGTACCGTGGACACGCTATCAGGAGGGACCAGTCCCTGGACAAGGACAGCATGCTTGGTAAAGAGGGAGACCCTCAAAGAGATGGACTGACCCAGTGGTTGCGACAATGGGTTCAAACACAGCAATGACTGTGAGGATGGTGCAGGCCTGGGCAGTGTTTCGTTCTGCTGTATATAGGGCTGCTATGAGTTGGAACTGACTCGCCTAACCACAACTTCAAGGTCACGTTCTCTGAACCAGATTCCGGTGGTTTGTGGGAAGGAAAGGCTGCCTGTTTCTATTATTAGGTAAGTACCTTCGATGAAACCTAGACCAGGTAGAGTCCCTGGTGCAAAAGGCATCCATATTCCCAACTCAGTTATCCAGGCTGGCTTGATGCAGGGTCACCTGCCATTGGGAGCCAAGAACCCAGGGTGGGTGCCCACCTCAACAGCCCCACCCTGCTTCCTGAGTTGGCTCTCATCCTCCACCCCAAGGCGTCCTCTTTGGCCCTTCCTTTCCCATTCCCAAATCTCCACTCCTGCAAGTTCCCATTTTCAGCCCCAATTTTCCTGTGTCCATCACCATCGTGTAAAATGTAACCCGATGCCTGTGCAGAGAACAGAGAACAAGTTCTGTAAGACGAGGACATGGAAAGCACCTCCCTCACAAACCAGAGACATCACAGGCAAAGTGTGTGGGCACTGCCTGCCCCCAGTAGGAGCCTGGTATCTGTGAGCTATCATTACTGTGTAACTTCACTGAAAAGGAGCCCCAACCAAAGGGTTGGCAGTTCGAACCCACCGGAGGCTCTGAGGGATAAGACCTGGTTATCTGCTTCCATGAAGATGACAGCCTAGGAAACCCTACTCTGTCACGCGGGGTCGCGATGAGTCGGAATCAACTTGACAGCGTGTAGCAGCAGCAACTACTTTACTCAGCTTGCAATGACAGGGCAGAGGGTTGGAGTCCAGAAACGTTTAAATTAAGGAATACATTAAGGAGTAAGAATGGGCCCCCTGAGCCTGAAGGTGGGGGTAGTCTTGGAGCCCATGCTGTAGTAAGCCATCAAAGCCCTCCCGCATTCCCTCACCGGCGTGGAGGCTGTCCTGGCTCCCGACTCGCTCCCGGAGCGAGTGTGAACTTCGGCCTCCCCACAGCGAGCTGTAAGGGTGGTGGCAGGTGCCCCAGCTGTACCCAGCTGCCGCTGCCACATTTAGACACAGCAGCGTTCTGCACGCAGAGGAGAGAACAGCATTTCATGGCGGGGGACCAGCAACAACAGACAGGACCCCCCCATGAAGACGTGGAGGGAGGTAAAGGCTTCAGTCTCTGTCACGAGACTTGAACCCAGCATGTCGGGTGCTTGCTCACTTTAATTGGCGTCACCGCCGGTCTGGTGACACCCAGCATTCTGCCTGCACGAGGCCCTCAAAGAGCCAGGGGAGCAACTACGGCGGAGCCAAATGACCCCACTCCTTAGGAGGCTCTAATTGCTGTTTCTCCAGCCGCATGCTGCCTTCCCTTCCTGGCTGGGTGGCGGCCACCGGCTGGGCCAGGAGTGGCAGTAAAGGACCCGGGTCATGGCCGGGATCTGGATCCCGGCTTGTGGCAGAGGTTCCAAAGCAGCTGCCCAGTCTCAGGCCACCATAAGAACACCCACGACCGGCTGGGCCCTCACCAAGCGCCAAGCACCGCGTGCATCACACCCACCACTGCCTGGAATCCCCCAGGGCCCCACTCTACAGATGAGGAGGCTGAGGCCTGGAGAAGCCAAGCTCTGCACTCAGTCAGCACGGGTCGCCTCGGGGCTCGATGCCATGGCCCTCGCACTTACCACACCTCCACCTGGGACATCACAAGGATCAGAAACTATTCAAGTCCTCTGGGCTTCATTCTTTGGCAAGCATGCTGGGGGACACTAGTCAGAGAAAGAGCCACAGGCCCAGATTCCTGTGAATGGAGAGTACACTGTGGGGTGAGAGCCCTCTCCTTCTCTCAGCTCATCCTGGCCACATCTGCCCCAATGCCAACAGCGTGGGCCAATCCTGACGGAATCTGGTGCCAACCAGCCTGGCTGCGTAAGACTCTGCAAAGGGAGCCAGGGCATCATGTGTTGGTCCCTTGCAAGGGGACAGTGACTCCATCCTGGGAGACACAGCACAAGGTAAACTCCCAAAGGCATGCCAGGATTGGGGGGGCTCCTCTGCTCCGTTACTTCTTGGGCCTTATCCCTGCATGGCTTGTCACCAGGACACCAAGGGCAACCCAGCTCTAAAGGGACACATGAGGCTAGTGAGTGCCTGCTCAAATCTCACTTCATGCCCCGGTCCATCCTCTTCTCACCCAGAAAGGGCACGTCGTGGGGGCCCACCCGTTGTAGCCTTTGGGGACAATAAACACTGAATGTGACCAAAACTATCCTGAAGACCCCAATGCTGCCCACAACGTTCTGATTCCTTCCACGTGATGGTCTAGCCCACTGCCTGAGGTGGAATGCAGACCACAGCTGTGTCTAAGCTGCCTGTGAAGGCCTCCCCACTGCCTGTTTTCAAGGTGATTCCTAATTTCCAGGCTCTAAATACCTCTGCTCATACCTGCCGCCTTCATCCACCTCACACTGTTCTGTCGGTGACTCATTCATTAGCATGCCGACAGCCACTCTTAGGGTTCAGAGATGTTAAGAGTCTTGGATAAAATCCATCCTTGTCCATATAAGGAGAAAAATCCCCACCCTACAGTTTCCTGCAGGGTTAAGGTCCTAACACGCTCAAGACCACGTAGCATAGGTCATCTCCAGCACAGGGTAAAGGTCGTAGGCATTGCAGCCAGGTTCCTGGGTCCCTGCATCTCAAGGAGGGCAGGAGGATGTAGGTAGAGAGCCTGAGGAAGGACCACGCAGTGGCTGTTGGGCCCAAGCCTGTGGTCTGGGCTCAGCTGATGCTCCCGCCTTCTGACATTTTGCTCAATTCTCAGTGGCTCACGCCCACGCCACTGCCGACCCTGCTACAAGCCTCCGTCTGCACTCTGCCAATGCCTTCCTACCTCAAGAGTTCACATCCACCAGACTGGTGGCAATGAGGGCAGCCTCCAGGACAGTCAGCTGTGTTGGGAGAAATGGGACTCACAGAACCAGTAGGACAAGAAGAAGGAGGCGATGTCACCGGGCTTCAGCAAGGGCCCTCAGCCAGCCACTCCCGTGAGCTGCAAGCCTCAGAGACCCAATGGGGTTTGTTTCGGCCATCATGTGCTGGAGTATCTACACGTGGTGGGCACTGAGCCAGGTGACACAAAGATGAACAAGGTCTTCCTGTGCTCAGGAGCTCAGGGCTTAGGAGGTGATTCAGACAGTTAAACAAGTAATTACCATGTAGTCGGCTACTTGGAATAATAGAAGCCAATTCAGGACGACCAAGCAGTAAAGGGCAGTGAGTAATTAACTCCGTCAGGAAGAGGAGGTTCAGTGAAGGCTTCAAAGAAGAGATGGTATTATCAGCAGGGCTTTCAAGACCCAACTGGAGCCCCTGAGCAAACGAGGCAGGCGAGTAATGGAGGCAGAGTTACCAGTAAGGCAGAAAGGCTTAAGAATGCATGGGGCATTCACAGGACTGTAAATAGTTTGATGCTGTGGATCGAGGCAGGAAATGGGACCAGCCAAGCAAGAAGGTGCTAGAACACAGAAGGCCTCGAATGCTGGCTCAAAGAAGCCCCGGTGGCACAGTGGTTAAAGCACTTGGGTGCCAAACAAAAGGTCAGTGGTCTCAATCCACCAGCCACTCTGTGGGAAAAAGATGTGGCAGGCTGCTTCTGTAAAGATTACAGCCATGGAAACTCTATGGGGCAGTTCTCCTCAGTCCTGTAGGGTTGCTATGTGTCAGAATAGAGTTGATGGCAATGGGTTTGGCTTTATGCCACCTAAAGAGCTTGGCTAGAATCCTGGGGGGAATGGGCAGGTCTTGAGGAGCTCCAATAAGGGAAAGTTCCACAATGGATTTGTGTTTTACAGACTGCTGGATGGCAGGGGTGGTGGGGATGGACGCTTTGGCTAGAAGGTCAATTCCAAAATCCAAGCATGAAATAGCAATGGCCTGCAACCTTTATCCACAGAGAGGCCCTACTGCCATTCTTCCCAGCCAGGCTTGATGGAGCAACCCCACAAGTTCTTAGAGGTTTTAGCAAGTGACCCAAGAAGAGAGTGAGATGGGAAACAAAAGACCTAATGCCCCATGCAGAGAGTTTTCCTGGACCCTGTCAGGTATGTTCCTGTTAAGAAACAAGCCAAGAACAAAACTCAAAAGCATTTGGAAAAAAAAAAGGGGGACCAGGTTTGCTGGTCTGATAGAGCCTGGTGGAACCACTAAGACTATGGCCCCTAGCTGACCTTCAGGTCTGGAACTGAACCCACATCTGTGGCTTCCAGCCAAACAAAAGACAGGCATATGAGTTGAACGTTTACCTGAGGTAGATACACTCCTTGGAGAGAACAATCATGGGAAAAAGAAAGGCTGTGTATGCACAGGGAGACAGCTCAGGGGACAGGAATGCATGGAGGGACGGACACAGGGAAAAGGTGACTGTCGGGAGGAAGTGGGAGGGGAGCTGCTGCATTGTGATGAATTGTGGTCAATGTCATGAGACAAAGAATTTGTGAACTGCTGTATGGAAAGTGAATCTGCTCTGTAAATTTTCACCCAAATCACAATTTAAAAAAAAATCCAAGGGGGGCAGAAACAAGCCAAGAGACAGGTGTAGAGGGTGGACACTTACATCAAGTAGATACACTATCTCGAATGATCAATCACAAGAGAACAGAAGGGCAGTATGTGCACAAGGAGATAGGTCAAGGGGCAGGAATGCACAGGAAAGGACAGAGGGAAGAGATGATGACAGGAAGGTAGTGGGAAGAGAGCAGTTACATTGTGGGGAATTGTAGTCAACGTTATGAGACAGAATGTGTATGAACTACTGTATGGAAAATGAATTTGCTCCATAAACTTTCACCCAAATCACAGTAAAAGTTAAAAAAAAAAGAAAAGAAGCCAAAGTGAGCCACTGAGTTTGCCGATACACCCGGTCTCCCTATATGATGTGATGATGAAAGCAAATGCTAAGGGCCAACATTCACATTTATTACGGGCCTATTAAGACACGGAAGAAGAGGAAGGGAAGGACCTTCAGAGTCAGGCAGTCCAAGCTTCCAATCACAGTTCAAACACTTGTTGGCTGTGTGATCTTTGGTAAGTTACTTGGGCAAGGCCCATAATTTTGTCCCCTGTAATATAGTGAATGTGCCGATTGCCCTGCAGGAGGAACTAGTGAGACAACAGATAAGAAAGAGCCTAATAGTCAGCTTGACAGCTCTGAGGCATTTAAGACCAAAAAAAACCAAACTCATTGCCACTGAGTTGATTCTGATTCATAGCAGCCCACAGAACAGAGCAGAACTGCCTTGTAGAGTCCTCAAGGCTGTACTCTTTACAGGGGCAGACTGTCACATGTTTCGCTGATGGGTTCAAACCAATGGATGACCTTTCAGTTAGCAGCTGAACACTGAACCCCTGTGCCACCAGGGCTCCTTGGCATTTAAGAAGTGTTCCTGAAACCTGTCACTGCTTTCTCAGCCCCAAGTGGCACTGAGGGAAATCTCTAGTTTAGATTCTAGCCCTCCTGGAGCACCATCAAGCAGGCCCAGCTCTGCCACCCTGGCTGGGGTGAGCATGCACAAACAAGGACAGGCCAGTTTATTGGGAGCCAGGCCTCCCAGTGGACGCCCACCCCCAAGGACACTGCTCTCCTTCATTACTCCTGAGGGAGGCTGCTACACACCCTGTGACCCAACTGTGCTCTCTCTGGACAAAGGAGATGGTGCGGCGAGGCTCATCCTTCCCTGGACTCAAGCATCTGCACCTGTGAGCTGGAGAAGAGCAATGGCCCTCTGTCCTGGCTGAGGGCTGGCACATGGGTGGTGCCCAAAGCACCGGTCCATGATGTCTCGCTGCCATTAGGTGCTGCTGAGTCAGTTCAGACTCACAGCAACCCTGTGTACAACGGAACAGTGCGCCCGGCCCTGAGGCATCCTCACAATTGTTGCCATGTCTGACCCACTGTTGCAGCCACCGTGTCAGTCTATCTCACTGAGGGTCTTCCTGTCTTTCACTGACCCTCTACGATCTCTTAGGACCTTCCCAAAGAGGCGAGTCATTTTGAGCCTCTCCTGAGCCTGAAGCAAGAGCGAATGAAGCCAATGGCTTTGGGACAAAGACCAGAAAGGTTTTTAAAGCCTCTGATTCTGCCAGAACCACACTTAAAATTTAAAAAATTTAAAGCTCACAGCCTCTCTTGGGTTCACTGTGTGCTAGGCTTTGGTTCAGAGGAAGACAAAGCAAAACCCAAAACCCTCCAATCAATGGCTCACCACAGATACCTACTCCCTCCCACTGTGCCCCAGGCAGTGCAGGGGCTGAGCCTGGACAGAAAGCAGCTGTCAAGTCCACCTTCCTGCCAGCAGCTTGAGATTGGGACAGACGCAGGCTGGGACGGAAAGCTGTTTCTTTTTTTAACAGGGAACGGGACTGGGACGCTGGCCAAGGAGCAGGTTAGACTGAGGCCCCAGCTGGGCATCCACAGTGAAAGTCAAGGTAGCTCAGGGGCAAGGGATGCAGGTGGCCGACTGAGGAAGGGTCTCAAGGAGGGCAAGGTAGCCACCAAGGGCATCATGAAGCTGGATGAGTAAGAAGGGAAACTCCAGGGTCTCCTGGGAGTCATCTCGGTGCCAGAACTTGGGGGTCCAATGTGCGTGTCGGGTAACAGGAGCATACCTCTCCCATTAGACCACAAGGCCCACATCATTGCCCACCCCCAGCCCAAACCATGGTCTTACTTTTGCTAGGCAGTTCCACTTGGGCCAGTCCGTTGGAGGGAGCCAGAGGGGTGCTGCCACCCTCATCCAAGGTCAGGATCAGGGGCACGTCATCATCCAAGCTCACGGCCATGGTCTCCTCTCCTGCAGCCCTCAGGATGCAATGGCCAAGGCTTTAAGTAGTCTCTGGTTTGATGTCCCTTTCAAAGCCACTGCCCCTGAGGTGCTTCTCCAAAACTCCTCCATTAGTGGCATCTTCTATGGTTTAGGGGATAAAAAAAAAAAAAAGAGAGAGAGAGATTATTCAAACACAATGGGCACAGATGAGAGAGTTTTGGAATTAGGTAGTGCTGGTGGTTATACAACCTTGTGTATGAAATGGTGAATTTTGTTGTTGTTATTATGTGCCGTCAAGTCGGACCTGACTCATAGCAACCCCTCCTTGGGTTTCCAAGGCGGTATCACTACGGAAGTAGATTGCCCAACCTTCCTTCCAAGGAGTAGCTGGTGGGTTTGAACCGCCAGCCTTCTGGTTAGCAGCCAAGTGCCTTAGGCACTATGCTACCAGAGCTCCTATGGTGAATTTTAGGGTACGTGAATTAGATCTCAAAAAAAAAGGAGGCTTATAGTAAAATACCATTAAAATACACACACACACACACACCCTGTAAGAACAGATATTGAAAAGTTAAGTGATTAAATCTAGAGAGCGAGAGTATGGCTAGTATGTTCCACCACTCTCCCTATACACATGTTGGTGTGTGTCTTTGGAGAAAAAAATAAAATAAAAT